CTAAAAGTAAAATTAAATAACTTGCTAATTATGCAAGTATGTGATCTAAAAATGATATGATATAATTATCAAGAGATAAGGTTTCATATAATCAAGTCAAGAACATAAATTAATTAGTAAGTTTTTGAGTTATAAGCCAATTTTTTAGGTGTGTAAAAACTTTTGTCACTCTCCTGTAAGCACATTCCGTTTATAAGCACATTATTTTTTAAACCAACTACTATTAAATGGTTTTAAAAAAATTTTTATATAGTATAAGCATATTTACTATATAAGTATTTTCTAACACATTTTTATATAAGCATATTCTAAGCACTTTTTCTATACGTATAAGCACATTTTAAGCATATTTCTATATATGCGACCATGTTTGTGCATGCTTTACATTTAACCATTCTGATTTTAATAATGATTTTTTTCTTTTTATACAGTCATCGGAAACAAAACAGGGCGAAGTAAAGACAACAAGGAATATACAGATACTATAAACAATAAAAAAAGAAAAAAGAATCTTATTTCACAAGCAAGTTCTCTAGACTCTAATTCCTACCACATCGATTAATCCGAATTAACCAACGATATAAATGTTTTTAAAACAAAGTTATTAAATTTTTTCAAATCGCGATCAAGTTATTCATTGTTAAGTGCAAATGAAGCGGTATTGCAAGTGGCTACAGAGCTTTTATTGCCAAATAACAGGATTCCTGAATTGTGTTTATTGATAGATAATACCAAACAAAAAGGAGGTGGAAAGCTCAGATTTGTGGATATGATGTTCGGTAATATTAACCATTCAATAATTGAATTAAAATATGTTAATCTTTTGGGATTAATGAGAGCACTTGACAACAATTGGAATATATTTCCACGTACAAATGATTTAGCGAATTTTGATAAATGTATTGAGAATAAGAGTGAAAGTAAACTTTTAAAAAAAAAAATATGTTTTGGTCCAAAAAACAAAATAGACCACAAATTACAACACTGAATGAAATTTTGTTGTCTGCGGAAAAACAAGTAATGAAATATTTACACGAAATTCTTTATATTGTTTATCTTAGCCCTCAAAAAAATGTCAGATTAGAAGTGGTGAAATACGA